TCCTCCTCCTCCTCCTCCTCCCTCCTCCTGTCAGTTCACGTCCAGAAAATTCAAATAAAATTCAAAAATCCATTACCGAACCGTGTCCGTGGCTTGGTGTGATGCATTGCAGTGATTGGCTGTCTGTGTCCCCTCTTCCCCCCTCCCTCCTGAAAACAGGAGCTAGAGGCGGGAAAGCGGGGGAAACGGCGGGAAATTGAGGTTTCCGGGCCACCTTTGCTGTTTAAAGGGCCAAGGAGCCGTTTTTCGGCAATGCCGAAAAAAACCCGAATTTTTTCGGGATTTTTTTTCGGGATTCGGAAAAGCGCCTAGGAGGCCATTTCGGGATCGCGAAAGCCGAAAAAAGCCGAAAAACATTATTTTCGGCTTTTTTTCGGCTCGGGATCCCGAAATGCACATCCCTAATTGTCGGCCAGTCTGCTAACTCTTGTAGGTTACAACCTATTCTGATTGGTTTATTAGTATAAATTAGTTTTCAGTATAGTTTCTCATGAATGCGGACATCCTGGCTTGTTCTGTGGCATCACCCTCACCACAATGCAGGTATCTGCAGGGGAGGTGGTAGCAAGAGTTAAGTCGAGACAAACTTATACTGCTTTTAATGTCTTGAGCAACTTTCCTCTCACTTGTTAGGACCATTTCATACAGTCAGACTTCAATGGCAAATCTCGTCCTGGACTGTACCACTTTAGGCTACATATGGGGTTTGGAATGTCTAAATGCTATGCTTGATGCGGGGCGGGGGATCCCTTTGTGGTTTAAGAAAACTGATATGCCAGGGAACCCTTTTTCTATGTCCAGGGAAGGTGGTCATGGTTTGTTTGTTTGTTTTTTAAGTGGTCAGGGCTGGGGACCTTCAAGCATAGCATACTTTGCAATACACTATAAATGCTCTACCAATTGGTTCTGCTGTTGTATAACCTAATCACTACTCCTTTAGCAAGCAAACATTTTTTCCTGTGCAAGTAGCGTATTTATCCGTGATTAGCAATGTGAACAGTTTACCTGTTATTAATGACTACTATTTTTTCTCTCTTTAGAGCTAGCTATTTTTTCATATTACCCTGCTGAAACTGTTGGCTAAATTATGACCTAATAATGGCTATGGCGTTAAAGAATTAATAACGAGACAAATTAACAACAAGGAAGTAGTTTGTACATTCAGGGAGTTAACTTGTACACACATGTGGAATTCTGCAACAATATTTTGTGCACATTTGAAATGTATATAAACTCAGAAATATTACTGGGCAGTGGGCAGTGCCACTGCTGCTTTGGAAGCATGCCAAAAGAAGTCATAAAAATCACCCAACTAAGTATTCATCAACACCATCTGTACAGTAATTAAAAGTGAAAAGTGGTGTCAGATTGTCTTGTCAGCATGCCACCCTGAAGAATTACACAGTTTTTTGGAGGGAGTCTTTTCAGAGGTGGCGTGGTAATTATAACATACCCTATAGGCAGCTTTGCTGTAGCCTCAGAATTTTGGCAAATTTCCACATTTTAATTACTAATTTGCAAATATAAAGAACTTTCACTTTTTTTACTATTGAAGTTATAAATCTGTCTTCGGATCCCTATATATTAAATCTGTTTTAAACACTGTGTCATCACAGGAGGAAATAGATATTTTTGAAGGTGTGCGAGATGCTCAAGCTTTGAAGATGGCAGAGAATCTAGGATTCAAAGCGCCTCTACGACAGCAGGTAAATTTCACAAAAGTTTAGTGGTGTTCAAAGATAAGCAGCCCTTTCTGGCATATACCTTTCATGGTTTTCAGGGAGCCTTTTAAGCATATAGTATGTGTGATTGGGGGCAGGGAGTGTGGCCAGGGTATTTTCCTGTTGGTCATGTGTATTCTCACCTAAGCACCAGGCATGATACATAGGCCAGTTGGGATTTAAGGCAGCTATTTCAATCCCCTAGAATAATGGAAGTGTGAAGAGGATATACAAATATTTATTGACTGAAAGTGCCCATTCCACCTTTTGAAAGCAAACTAGCAGGTCAATAAATCTTGAGCCGCTTGCTGAAATTGCCAGATGCTGCTGAGGAGAGCCCTCTAAGTGGTGGAATGGCCATCAGAAATCTTCAAAGGTTTGTGTGTGTGATTTTTGCAGGGGGAATGGTCTTGGGATATAGCATCCTTAGGTGGTGTTTAGCTGCAAGGTTGGCTTGTATATATGGCTTTTGGCCACTGCACAATCACCTTGAGCTCAGATGCTGAACATAGTCACATGAGGAACATACAGTGTGAACAATGTTCCACTACTCTCTCAAACACACACCTCTGCCTGGAACTCTTAGGATGTTTAATAATGCCCTCTAGTCAGACTGCTTTGCTCATTGGAGATGTGTCTGGAGGCAGTGAGGAGCAGAGCATTCCCTCCTGTACCACCTTCTTGAAACACCCTCCTGTGAAAGAGATAATGTTATGGAGTGAATAGAGTGTCCAACTAAGGCTGAGGAACACTCCCTGTTCAACCAAGAAGTTCACCAGTTTGTGAGGAAACTAGTGTAGTTTTGTTGTTTTTCAATAAAACACAGAAGAGGAGGGTGATTAGGATTAGGGCTGCAGTGCTCGGCAAATTAACAGTTCACCTCCGCATTATTTTCTCAGTTACTCTCTTCCTGCTTTACAGGAAAAAGGGGCAAATGACAGACCCAAATCAGATTCCTTGTAAGGCTGCTTTTCAGAGTGGGAAAAAAAAAAACTGTTGGGAAATCAGATCTTGGATCTCTTAAGCTGGGGGCTCCAACATGGGGCCCATAGGCACCCTTCCTGGTGTCTGCCAAGCGTTTTAGAAAGTGGGTGGTACCAAACGGGGCTATGTAGATCTTTAGAAATGTTGTTTTGGCAGCAGCTGCCACCACAACAGAAGGATCTTCATTGAGTGACTGAAGGTAATCTGTGCGTATAGAAGAAAATAGTTTTAAACAATAGGTTCATTGAAAAAGGCATCCTGTTAAACAGATCTTCTGTCTGAAATGTTGAGGATTTGATTTACTATTAGAGTTATGTATAATCTGTGATTGTGACATTTTGTGGATGGCTCTCGTGCAGAATTCCAAAGGTGCTCACAGGCTTAAAAAGGTCAGGCACCCCCGTCTTAAACTATTGAGCACTTTATCATTAAGCCACCTACTCTAACATGGATTCCCATGGGTACATGCCCTTTTGGAGTATGTAAGGATACATGGCACTACTCTCATGGATAGGGTCAAAAACAAAAGAGGGAGGAAAATGTAACCCAAAAAACAGATTAAATATTGATTGATTGATTTAATTTGATTTGATTTGTATCCCACCCTCCCCGCAAGCGGGCTCAGGGTGGGTTCCATCATAAAATTCACAGTACAACAAATCAACAGTTAAAATAGATCTAAAAAACCTATCTTAAAAACAGGGATCAATAAAAGGCCGGCGCCTCAACAGATTTCAACAAGAAGCAGTTTGTTCCCCTGTGGCCATTCAGGTCTGAGGCCAATCAGCATGTGGGCTCCCACTGCCTCAACCGAAAGCCTGGTGGAAGAGCTCTGTCTTGCAGGCCCTGTAATAGTCAAAATAGCCAATAGGGCTAAGTGAACAAGCCTAAAATATATATGTAAAAATGAAAAACAAAAGTAAAAATGCATTTTAATATCCATTAATTGCAATAACATAATAACTAGTAGAACATACAAAGCATTAAAATTGTTCATTGTTCATGAATCTCTTTACCAGTATGGTAAAACTAATTCATACAGAGCAGATACCAAGTAACATATATCCAGGGCTTTTTTTTGTAGAAAAAGGCCAGCAGGAACTCATTAGCATGATAGGCCACACCCAACAGCAGAAACTCATTAGCATATTAGGCCACACCCTGACAGTACACCGCATTAGCCTATTAGGCCACACCCCCATGCCTTACCTTGGCTTGCCCGGGCGTCCCATGGCTGCACGGAGTCCAGGCAAGCTGGCCCTTGGACAGACCAGGGAAGGCATTTAAAGGCCTCCCCAATCCTTCCAGGGCTCCCCTGGCCCACCTGCCTTGGTGTTGCTGGGGGGGTTGCTCTCCAGGCCTTCCCTGTGTAGCCAGGCACGTAGAGGTTTTGGCTGTAGTGGGCGTGGCCAACTCTGAAGCCAGCCGGAACTCCGTTCCTGTGCGTTCCTGCCCAAAAATAGCCCTGCATATCCAGTTGGTCAAAAATATGATAAAACAAAGAAAACACCAAATGCATTTCAGCTATTGCTGTCCTCAGTGGTATAATAATATTGTCAATAAAATACAAGAGACATCCAGTAATCACTGTATACAAATGTATCCACAGATATCTCATATATCAGAAAATCTCCTCATGTTTAGTACACATTGTAGACTTGTAATGTAGTTGGAAGTTAGGAAGTATAAGAGGCTTCTTTGAAGTCCTGTGACTATATATGAGATGTCAGGCAAATAACCAGATCAAAATGGATAGGATAATATTTGTACAAGCATCAACCAATAGGCAAGACTAACCGGAAAAAAATTCTGAAACATCTGCTTACGTCTAGAATCTGCCATGGTATAGAATTCAGGTGTATAGGTCTGTAGCTTTCCAGATCCTTCTTTACTCATAGCTGAAGACCAGGACCATATGTTGTGATACCTTACCAGCAGGGGTCTTGTTGTAGAAAAAGAGCTGCCGGAGCTCATTAGCATAACTCATTAGCATAATTTATTTGCATATGCCACGCCCCCTGACATCACCGGAAGTGACAGAAGGCCACACCCCCTGACATCACCGGAAGTGTGTCAGAAGGCCCGGCTACTTACCCTCCTGCTTCATCCTCATTCCCAAACGGAATGAGGATCGAAGCAGAGGGCGGGGTAAAGAAGGGGGCGGGGCTTCACCACGTGACCGCCCCGCCCCCTAGAGGTTCTCTTCCGGAGCTCCGTACCTGAGAGCTCCCCCCCGACTAGAGCCCTGCTTACCAGTCTTCTAGGGTTTCTCAAAGAACCTCCACCATCTCTAAGAAATCCTGGTACATCAGATTACATCAGCATGTTCCTGTAGGCCCCAGGATGCAGTTTATCTAGCCCAGAGAACTGGAATGTGTTTAAAATAGTTCGGTATTCCCTGACTCTTAGCAATTTTGAGCTACAGTCCCGGCCCCTAACTACACATAACTATTTTTGTGATGTTGCACACAGTTCCCCAAATAGAAGTCGACCCCTTTCACCTTTGACATCTGTTGAAATTTTACCATCCTCACTAAGTCAGTGAGCCCACTGTTTCCTTTCTGTTCCTTCGGAGATATCTGGGAGAGCCCTTTTTCCAGTCCTTAGCATCCCTTGCCAGCCCCAGCTAATTTTTTACTTTAGCTTTCCTGTCCCTACATCGGTACATCGGGCTGCTCATCTGTAATTGTCCCTAGGGACCTCTCTCTCCTTTCATTTCCTGTGTGTGTGTGAAATGCCATAAATTGTAGCCAATTTATGACAACTCTGTAAGGTTTTCAAGGCAAGAGATCAACAGAGGTGCTTTGCCGTTGCCTGCCTCTGGGTAATGACCCTGGACTTCCTTGGCGGTCTCCCATCCAAGGAATAACTAGGGCCAACCCAGCTTACGTTCTGAGATTTGACGAGATTGAGCTGGCCTTGCCCACCCATGTCAGTGCTTCATTTCCTATACTTGTCCTTTATTATTTTCATCCCACCACATGACTTTTTATGCATCTCCATTGGCTTCTTTAGACGTCTCCCATTTTCTTTGCCATTGATAGTATTTGCAGTTATGCCTTTAGCAACTTCCTTTTTTAAAAGGAACTCCTACCTATGTTGCTCTTCTCTTCTGCATTAACAGGTAGCACGTTATGCTTTAAATGCTAAATGTTAATTATTGCCTCTAGGAAACTAATCTTGCAAAGGAAAGCATTGGGGCAGATTGCCATGTCCATTCCGTTTTCAGAAGAATAATGTGTGATCAGCATGTCTCAGTTTTAGGAGAGCAAAAGTAGGAGGGGGAAGCTTATATGAAGTCTGCATCTTCTCTAACTCAGTTGGAAAACATTACATTGTGGATTTAATGGCTCTGTGCTGTGCTAACAGAGTTCTTTTCTATAATTAAAATCAATAAAAAAATAAAAGCCTGCTCTCAGAAAAAGAAAAGGAAAACCAACAACAACACATAAACACAAAACCAAATATGGCTTCTCAGTATGCATTTCTCTCTTCTAAGGGTTGTTCTCGGACTATCAAAATGGAACATGAAGTTTCAAGCTACAGTTCTATGTGATTCATTTCGTAACTCGCTTAATCTTTCTTTTTGCTGCTGTCAAGGAGAGAGAGAGATGATAAATTGTTTTTGCACAGAATTTCCCATATCATCAAAATGCCACTTTTGTAAAACCGCTGAATTTTTAATACACCACTTCTAATTAATTTCTATCCCAACTGTGCAATTAGCAAATGCATAATCATTAAGATGATTAACACCCATTTGAAGATTTAGCAGTATCTTTTATAAGAGAGAATTATTATTAAATCTTTCCAGATTTGCATGTTCTAGCACTTAATTATTAGCACAATGCACAAACTGCTTAACCAAACAGTAGCCTAATACATTTCCTCCCATGTGCTATAACCTTTTCAGTATGATTTACTGGAGCATAGAAACATAATGGCTACATCAGTACAATCAAAGGTCTATTTAATTTGGTTTTATCATAATCATTTATATTCCCCATTATGTAAACACCGGAAGAATTCTGGTACTACAATGAAATCCTGGTGTCTAACATGCCATGAAGTCATTGTGATCAGTTTTGATACACTGTGCTTACTTCCTAGTTGTTCGAGATTTTTGTTCTTTTGTTTTTAATTAAAATGTTTCATCGTTATCCAGATTCTCTCCATAATTAACACAGAGAAAATCTACTTTGAATTGACTACTAGTAACTAGGTTAATGGCTTGGGTTTTTGTTGTTCTTCAAATGCAGCGTGTTGGATTTTACTAAGCAGACATTAATTCAAATGAGAATTGGACCGTGGCAGCTTTGTAAGTTCATAAGATTGACTGAAATTGACAGGGCTACAAGCAGCAGTGGAACGGATTAAACTGTGGTGGGCACAAGTTGTAATGTATGCAGCTTGCAAAGATATCATGTGTGGGATGCAGGAAACCTTATTGCCTGTAAGTCCTTTTCAGAAGGATGTGGTTTTAATCGGAGAAATGTGCAGGGTTCTCTCAACCAGCACTCAGATCTTTAAACGGAGTTGCTAGAAACATTGTTCCTTGCCGAGTAAGTGAGTCTGTTCTGCTTCTGAGTGGTCGGTGGCCTGTCTCTCGTTCGCGGGGAGGGCGGGGTATAAATGCAATAAAATTAAATAAATAAATAAATGACAGAATCATAGAATCATAAAGTTGGAAGGGACTTCCAGGGTCATCTAGTCCAACCCCCTGCACAATGCAGGAAATTCACAAATACCTCCAGTGACCACTGTCCCATGCCCAGAAGATGACAAAAAACCTCCAGGATCTCCAGCCAAACTGGCCTGGAGAAAAATTGCTTCCTGATCCCAAAGTGGAGATCAGCATTTCCCTGGGCACGTAAGAAATGTCACAAGAACTAAGCACTGAGGCAACCCTTCCTGCCCTCCCTCTCGTGAACTGCCCAAGTTCACACAATCAGCATTGCCGTCAGAGGGCCATCTAGCCTCTGTTTGAAAACCCCGAAAGGAGGAGAGCCCATCTCCTCCCGAGGAAGCCGGTTCCACTGAGGAACCACTCTAACTGTCAGGAAGTTCTTCCTAATGTTTAGCGAAAAACTCTTCTGATTTAATTTCAACCCATTGGTTCTGGTCCGACCTTCTGGGACAACAGAAAACAATTCCATACAATCCTCTATATGACAGCCCTTCAAGTACTTGAAGATGGTTATCATATCACCTCTCAGTTGTCTTGGTACCTAGTGGCTAATGCCTACAATGACACTGCTAATGACTGGTTATACTGTTTCTTTTTACAAACCTAGTATCAGTTTGTGTGTATTTGCAATATATATATTGCAAAATATATATATTGTCTCTGTCTTCAGCAGGGAAACTGTCAGCTACTTCTTTGAATGAATAAAAACAAACCAAATGTGGAGGGAACCTCATAGGTGGGTGAAAAGAGGTGCTTCTCTCCACAGGCAGCCCTGTCTCCCTTAGAAACAGGAGATTCTCTGAAAACTGGAGTAGAGTCCCGTGTGGCTCAAGATACTTCCTGATGCCTATGGAAGGGCTCTTTATTCTGGATTCTGTGAACTGCTACCTTAGTATAGCGTAGTTCAGTAACTGGCTTCATGGGAGGACTGTTTTGAGGAGATGACAGATGATGTGTCAGGTCTCCCTTGTCTAAAGTCTGCTTCCAGCAAGTCCCATTATCACATGCCATGTAGCCCTCTTCACAAGTTTCTTGTCTCTGAATTTGCAATTGGAAGAGAGCAGCTGCTTCTCTCAGGTGCTGGGTTTGGCCCTGTTTCCTACAGTTGCTGATCCTTATCACAGTGATATACTGTGATATACTGGATAATTTATTTCTGGTATATCATGGAATATAAGGGGGTCACACAGAATTCTCAAGACGTCTTCCATCCAGGTGCAGACCAGACTCAGACATGCTTAATTTCCACAAGGTAGCTTTATCTTGTGCCCTCCAATAGCACCCAGGGATTTGCCCACAGAGTTCCTCATCAGACTCTATATAAATGGTACTTTAGAAGTAAAAAGTTAGAAAGTTTTGAACCCATTGGAGTATTTTATATATTTTTATTCAACAAAGTTTACACCTTGCCTTTGTGCCCTCAAAAGTGCCTCCAAGGCAGGCTAACAAATTAAAACATACATAATAAAATTACACCTTAACATCCATTAAAACCAACAAAAATACATAATTAAAACCAGAGCTAAAATATATACAAAAACATCACAAATGATAATTAAAACATTGGTCAGGAAGGAGAGATCACTGAAGGAGTGCCAAACGAAACAAACAAAAAGCAGGTGAAGGCTGGTGGAAGATGACAACAGAAAGGGACAGATGAATCTCCCTAGGGAGAGAGTTTTGGTATCACAACTGAGAAGGCACTAAACTCAGAAGACAGGAACACCTGAAGCAAGGCCTTCGAATATGACTGTAGTGGTCAGGTAGGCTCATAAGGTAGTAGGTGGTCCTTCAGTTGCTCAATGACTGACTCAAATAACCCTAAAAATATTGGGGGATGATCCCTCAGGGAAATAAAGTACAAACTGAAGTTGTTTCATGTTAATAAAATGGCACAGAGTGCGGGCAAGCTTAAACCTCTGTCCCTCCTCATTCCACAGTCCTGATCAGAACTGAGCACCTGGACACCAGATTTTTGAAAGGATGAAGAAACACTGGGAGCTCCATTCATGAAACTCCTAGCTTCTGTGTAGTTGAGCATTCCTTCTCCAACATGGAAAAAGTTAGGAAGATACAAAAAAAATTTTTTTAGTATGGCATGTTAGACTTAATTATAGAGCTCTATTGGTGAGGAACTACTGAATTACCACAGTTCAGCACTGAGTGGGTGCGGCAAGAAAGAAAGACGCTCAACAGATCACAAATGTTCCTTGCAAGTGTGGACCTCCCCTTTTGCCTTTAAACACATACACAAATCAGATTAGCCTCTAATTAAGTGAACATGCAGTGGTTGTTTAGCAGTTGTCGTGCATCAGCAGTGCTTAAAGGAAAACGAACAGAGCTGAGTTTTGAGAGCAAATAACCCAATTTTTCAACTGTTGTTTCGGCAGCAAAAGTAACATTTTGGTGTCAGAAGGGAGGGTTTATGTGTTTTCCAAACAAATTCTACAACTAATCTGCATTTGTCAGTGGAATATTGCTTCACAGTTTCTGAATTGAGCCTCATTAAGGTAATCACTTTTACTTCAATATCAGCATAATGTATTCATTACAAACCCTCAAACTTGGTTCATTGTGCTTAAATTAAGTTTGTTTGAATTAATGATGCTGCTGTCCCACACTGCGGAGCCCTATTTAGTATACTGCGAAGAGGGGAGACTTTATGCAGTGTTCAACAGTGTGTTGAAACAGCTTTTGATACTTCTTGGCGATGCCATTGGTCAGTGGTTTGCAAACATTTTATGAAACGTCTGTTTAATCAAGGAACATTAACTTGTTGGGCTCCTTCAGATACTTCAGATGCCAAAAATGAAAGTGGCTTTCATTTACTTTAAATATAGGATAATTCTTTCCTTATTTTTCTTGATTTCTCTTTTGAGTAATTACACACATTCTTTTTCTGTTTTTCAAATGTAGGCTGCCGATCAAATTAAAAAGCTGTATAATCTTTTCCTGAAAATTGATGCCACTCAAGTTGAAGTGAATCCCTTTGGTGAAACTCCAGAAGGACAAGGTATGAAACTGCGGAAGGAAGAAAAAGAATCTGTATAGTAATCTGAAAGAGAAAATCACATTCTCAGTCAGTTCATCTGGAAATTAAGGGGTGGGTCAGGTTAAAACAGACATAAGGTTTTCACATCTTCTGACCCTGACTGGGAGTATGTGTCAGCTAACTCTGCCATGGCTTGGAATGTGTAGGAGTTCACCTCCCTCTCTTCGCCTTCCCTTGTTACTGCACTTATCTCCCCGGGTGTCCCTGAGGCTGTGAGTGCTTCTACCCTGCTCTTCCCGCTGGGAATCTAATGGCTGGGTTTTGGCCCACGCTTGGTAGAGCTTGCTTATTGGCTTCGTAGTATCAGGGGGTCTCCTTTGAAGGGGGTATATCCCAAGGGGCCCTCGCTTCTCCTGCCGTTCCTGACACAAGAGTTCATGGTGTCTCAAGTACTTTCTCTCTCAATAAACTGAATCTACTGAAGACCTGGTGTTGAGTGTGATTGACTGGTAACCCTGACAGTATACCATGGCTTAACACACATTGTCCTCCTCTCTGCTGTGCAAAAGTTCCACTTTCTTGATTGTGCTGTTCAGTTGTTATGGTTTATTAGTGTTAACCACGGTTAACAGGATTGCCTGGTAGCCATACTTTGAAACTAGTGATGCGACAAAGTTTCCATATAATGAGGTCATAATGTAAACGTGCACAGCATGTAATATTTGTTTTATTTTACAAATCAGACAGTCTTAACCTGAAACTTCCCCTGTCCATAATTAATCATGATACAATCCCCCCCCCTTTTTGTTTCTGCATGGTTGTGGCATTTATAGATAAGGCAACTGAGACCATACCCACTGTTGGATACACTCTTGAAACCTAATTAATTTTTCTACCTTTCTTCAGACTTGATGAGAACCTGATATTCCTTTCTAATAGCTGAAGTTTTTGGAATGGCTTTGTAACTTGCCAAACAATGGTCCTACTTGGTCTGCTGCCCAATAACGTTATCATAATCATGGCAGTGTTAACACAGGTACTGCTGTCTACCTGTTTTGATGCTATACTCCCAAGCATCACAGACTACATATACAGAAAAACATTATGAGCCTGGGTACAACTCACCTGTGTATGGAGGAGTCAATCCAACTGGTCCAAATGATTCAAATGGGAAGAGAAAGTTCAGGTTTCACTGTTGAAAGCCCACTTCACTGCTGTTCAAATGCAGTGGTGTTTAGGAGTGTATAAGAAAAAAATTGATTGACTTCGGATTTGGGTACTTTTGACTGGAAAATATTTGATATTCCAGAATATTCCCAAATACCAGTATCGGTATTTTGCTGATATTCAGGTTAATAGAAGGGAAACCCGAATATATTTGGCTCCATTATACCCTATGGGGACTGCAGCAACTTTGCAACTCAACCCAGCAAGCATTTAAACTTTAAATCCCTGCTGGGAGAGCTTCTTCTGCAAGGTGGTTTAAGCTGCCCTGCAGAAGAAGCTGTCCCCAGGATCTGTGCAGGCAGGGAGACCCCTCCCCACCACACAGACCCAATGCCCTGGCAAGGCTTCTTTTGTTTAAACCACCCCACAGAAGAAGCCGGTCTTGGTATCTGTATGAGTGGGGAGGGAGAGCCCTCTCTGCCACACAGAACTGGCTGCTTGGCAGGGCTTTTTCTGCCGGGTGGTTTAAATTGCCCCGCAGAAGTGCGGAGGGCTCTCTCCCCACATGCAGACTTGGCTGGGAGAGGATAACTTGAGGCAGTGGGAGTTCTGAGCTGCAGCCACCCCAGTCAATCCTGGGCTTGCTCGTATATCTCAATTTAAACCAAACTTCCAGAGGAGCCATCCAGCCCTCCCTTTCTCTCAGGAGTCATGTTGCAAGTGTGGCACAGCTCTAGGGAGGTGATTGAAGGGGTTTAAAGTTTAAATCTCTTTCCTTCACTTGTCGTGCCCAAATAAAAGCTGAATAATATTTGATATGGGGGGGCTTTGGTAGCCGATCTCTGATCTGGATTAGACTGAATAAATACTTAACAAATATTGGTAAGGTATTTTTCGGGTCTTTGTTTGGCTCAGTATATACCAAGTGCACACCCCTAGTGGTGTTGAGTTTGTAGGTGTAATCTGTCCCATTGTAAGAACAGTTTAGTGGGAATGAGGCTCAGTGAAGAGATCTGAGTAGGATTCTGAGTAGACTTGCTTAGGATTGCTCTCTGACAGTGCAAACTGAAGCAGTTACACCCTCTGAGGCCTGTGGATTTAGAAGGCTGTAACTCTGTATAGAATGCACTGCTAGTTTCTCTACAAGAGATCTTTTTACTTGCTCTCTAGTAAGTTATTTGTTTAAGCATTATATTCATTTAAGCAGGGCTCTAGTCGGGGGGGAGCTCTCAGGTACGGAGCTCCGGAAGAGAACCTCTAGGGGGCGGGGCGGTCACGTGGTGAAGCCCTGCCCCCTTCTTTACCCCGCCCTCTGCTTCGATCCTCATTCCGTTTGGGAATGAGGATGAAGCAGGAGGGTAAGTAGCCGGGCCTTCTGACACACTTCCGGTGATGTCAGGGGGTGTGGCCTTCTGTCACTTCCGGTGATGTCAGGGGGCATGGCATATGCAAATAAGTTATGCTAATGAGTTATGCTAATGAGCTCCGGCAGCTCTTTTTCTACAACAAGACCCCTGCATTTAAGCATTATATTCTTGAATCCAAAGCACCTTCCATCTATTACTTTGTTTTGTTTATGCATTTCCTTAATTTTTTTTCCAAATTATGTGTAGGAAAATTATGATGAGGGTCCTTGTTTATTATTTTGTGTAACTAGGAAACTGCAGGGTGTTGGTGGGTGAAGGCTTATATTAATTTATATCTAAATACTGTAGTGGTACATTGAATGCAATATTATAGTTTTTTTATTAAAAATAAAATAAAATAATAATTATTATTGAACAGTAGGAGTTCATATGGTAGCCAAATCACAAGAAATATGGGAATGAGACGAAAATAGTACAGTGGTTTTAAATATAGCATCTGGACTGTTGAATCAGTTTATTGGGTTTTCAATTTATAAAAATGTGTGGAGTATGAAAATTTGTTCTTTCAGCTGGTGTGGTAGCCCAGTGAGCAGCCCTCCAGAAGAATGAGTTCACTTGAGGAGCCAAAGGGTGTTTATATATAAGCAGTGGGGGTTTTGTAAATAAAAAAGTGCCACTGTTCCATGAAGTCCACCCTTCCTCTGCAGATTCCCACTAGGCTCTCCCTAAGGGTTCATTCTCTTTTTCTTTGGCTGAGTGGAGTACACTGGCGCACAATGACCAGGACTTGGGAGAGTCCATAAAAAAGTAGTGGTACTCACATTGGTGAGTACCGTCACACAAAAGCCCTGTTTGTAACTATACAAACAAACAAATATAAATAGATAATATATAAAAAATTAAATCTGAACAACATGGGAAAAAATCTTCCTAAATAAAAGAAACCCTTAATTGATTCATCATGTAAAATATTTTTTATGTATTTTAGTTTCTCCCAAACCCCAAATGTTAGTGTTCTGTTGTAGCCCATTTAATCAAATAGTATTAATTGTGTCCAGTAGGGTTTTTTTAATCTAGTAAATCAATCTAGAAAAGTGACTGACCATATTAGTGAATTAAACACAGTGTTCAATATTTTAGAGTGAAATTCTTTCCTTACTTAATGGCTCTCTCAGAAGCCACAGATATTTGGTGATGTAGACAAGTTGCATTTTCTTTTGCCTTGGGGGTTTATTTCTTTGGATACAGAACAAAAGAAATATAGTAGAGTGACTTTTTTAAAAAGTCATTAAAAATTCATTGACTGTACCACATGACATTAATTCAGAGATTGAATTACAGTCATGATCAAGTGTATGTTTGTTTTCCAACTATAATGTACAATAGTCAAATTAAACTGAATTATGGGGGGAAATGATTAATGACCCATAGTTATATTGTTTCCTCTGTACAGAAGTGCCTTTCTGCTTCGCACTTCCTCCAAAACCCTTACAGCATTTTAGATAGATTTGCAGCACAAGCAGTACAAGAAAGAAGCAAATATTATTTGTAATTTTCATACCCTACCTTACAGTTGGATTCTAGATCATCTGGGATATACTGGCAGCATACAAATGAAGGATGGATTCTTGTCCTCATGGAACATATACTCTCCCTCTATTGAGAGTTCAGTGGAATGTATATGTATGATTAGGTATGGGCATGAACCAGAAAAATGTGGTTTGTGTTGGTTCGTGATTCGTGGCCTTGCAAACCCCATTGAAAGGGACCGCAGTTTAGTCCTTTTATATTGGGGTTTGCAGAATGAGCAAAAAACGACTGAGTGATTTTTTTTGTACTATCTTGTGCAGTCTCTTTATATTTTTAAGTCCCCTCATTTTACATTTTAGATCCCCTCAACCCTCAGCTGTTTTTGTGGCTTTCGCAGGGAACAGAAAGCAGGGATTTAAAGGGACTCGGAGTCCCTTTAAACCCCTTTTTTTCTGTTGTATCCAGGAACTGCCACAAACTGCTTTAAAAGTTCATGGAAGTTGGTGATGGTGGACCCTTCACAAACTTCAGTTTGTGAACCAGAAACAGGGCAAAATTTGTGAAGAATTTTGCTTCGTGGTTCGGTTTGTCCTCATCCCTATGTATGATTGCAAGTGGTCTGTCAGCCCTAATACTTGGAGAGGGATTGTACACCAAGATCCAGACCTTAGTCCACAGGTATCCATGGGCAGCTGGTATATTGCATTTGACTATAAGCCTGGGACAGTTACTGGCATTATACATTTACATCTGGATCTCAATGCTGATAAAAACCAGTAATGTATATCCTTCAGTAATAATCTAAATTACATTGGATGCTCCATATTTGGATCTACATGTGCAGCATTCCAGTCACTGGGCTGGAATTTAGCTCAGGAAGGAGACAGGGGACTTCACTCGACCCTCTTCTTACCTGCCCCATAACCTCTGCCACATAGCGTTTGACCCTGAGATCCC